TTTAGTCTCAAACTGTGCTCAGGTTTGCCGAATGATAAACTCTGAAATCATAAGTCAGAGATTTCAATGAAAAACTTACTGAAAACAAAAATGATTGTCATGTCCAGGACAAAATTAGTTTGAAGTATTAACATTTTTAGTTTCTACTACTACATTCATAGGGTTTATGAAATAATTGTATTTCAACAATGGACTCATTTGTTCTTTTTGTGGGAATTATAAAAAAAAAAAAACTTTTGTGACAGTTAAATAATGAAACATTAATAAGAACTAAAATAAATAAATACAATTGTATTTATTTATTTATATTATTTTTTATTTAATCAAATTTAGTTCGTCAGCTTATTCCTTTTAAACTGTCTGTGATTGAGCTCTGATTCTCTTACAGAATATGAATATATATATATAACAACAACAACAAAAAACAAAATCAAAGCACCACACTAGTATATTAATAACACTAAAACAACAGCGGTTCAGATAAAATAAAAATAAAATAAAATAAATATTATGCATTATAAATTTGAAATGTAAAGATTCAAATAGAATGACATTATTGTGTTAGATCTGATTCACATAATATTAATCAGATCTTCCCTTTAAATCTACAGCCACTATTCCACTGAGTATCACTCAGAACAAAACTAATTAAAGCAAACAACCCCCCTTTCTCCCATCACTCTGCTAAGCATCTTTCTCTTTCCCTTATTTAGGCCATCAATTTTCAGCCAGCTATCATATCTCATTATCTCTATCCCTGATAAGACATTCCCTTGACTATATGTTAAAGTTCCTCATTGCAGTGTCAGGGAATGACAGCAAATAATGTAACAGTTGTGAGCAAAATTTGTGCCATTTTATCTTATATGTGTTATATTAGTGAGCTATGCTAGTATGGAGATATCAAAAGGTCAAAATGTGTTATATCTTGAAAAAATATAGTTTGGCAGAAGAATGGACAATGCAGGAGACCCACAAAAAAAAAAAAAAGTATGAATGTTTGTTTGCATTTGATAGTCATCCTTTAATGAAAGCCAGATTGATATGTGTATGATGTTGATTTATTTAAACAGTGAGATACTTCACAAATATACATTTTTTAAATCAGTCATAAGATGCCACACCTCACGTCAATTTAATATATGAAAGTACTTAAGTTGTAGGTTTCCAGAAATAAAAACTGAAATGAAGAATAAAAATCACTTATGAATGAAACAATCCCTTTCTGAAAATATCACTGGATATCTTATATGCAATACTTATATTAAATTAAGGTATTAATATATTGTTTAATTAATTGATTACCACTTTTTACCCTATACATATTTGACTTACCATGTTTTTTTCTTCATATGCAGTATATATACACACTTGCAGATGCATTTCTGTTTATATGTTTTTATTAAGTGTAAATTTACTTTGAAAAAAAAAAAGATTAAAATAATGATTGTTGCAGTTTAGGAATTGATACTGGATTAATCAGAAAAAGGACATTTTTACCCATGCATTTTGTATAAAATACATTACAAAAAAAAAAAAAAAAGTTAGATGTAATATAAAACACATCTTTGAAGACAGTGCATTTAAAAACAGTTTGCATTTAGACATTTCTATAACTCACCTTCCACCCCTGGGAGATAATCAATACCCATAATACATAACCACAAATACTAATGTGCAGTGGTATGAGGTTCATATTGCTACTTAACAGGACAAATGGGGAGTGGAGGGAGAAAGAAAGAGAAGAGGAGTGAAAGAAAGAGAGGGGAGTGATGTATAACTATATCTACTCTATGTAACAGGACTCCATGTCTGGCTCAGAACAGCCTGTGACATCAGCATATCATAAACATATTTCAGAGCCTTCGGATCTTACTGCTGGATTAAACCAAAGTCCCTTTAAGGACAGTCAGTCCACTTGGTGGCCAGAGGGCTGCTATTTTGGAATCATGCAAGTACAGCTGGGTCATTCTCGATGGAGAAACTGTACAAATAAGATGTACGATTGGTTAACACAAACCTTTTCACACAGCATTAGTATTGCAAGCGTCGCACTATTTAACTGGTTACCTTTGACAGTTAGCCACTGCTGGTAGATGCTGTATTATCATTATCATTTTTTAATAATAAAAATAAAAACTTTCTCCATAGACAGCCATTTAAAAGTAAATCCTGTCAAAAATATAGTAAATATAGTATAAAGTATAGTGTAAAAAAAAAAAAGCCTTTAATCTCACATGGCTTTATTTTACATTTAAAATAACTCACAAGTACATAGATGTGTTTTTTTTTTTTTAGTTAAACGTGCATCATTAGCACGTTCGCTCTTACACAAATTAAGGCCTTAAAAAGGTCTTAAATCAGAACAAAGTCTTAAATTAAAGCCATGGCATTACATGTTGCATGCTCTGCAAAGAATAAATGGTTTCTTCAGTAAACATCCTTAAATCAAGATATATTTACTTAAGAGATCATATCTTCGATATATATATATATATAATAATTTTTTTTTTTTTTTGATGAATTAAAAAATCCTGCATCCAAAGAGCACAGATTTATAGACTATGTACCCCAGTAGATTTTTATTTTTGTTTTTGCATATTTTTGATGTAAACTCTGTAAACTTTGATTACAATTTGTCCCTTTTATTGCTGTATACTCTTAAGTACTATGGCTTTTGTTATTTATACAATTTATGATTAAAATCTTTAAATGTTAAATGGTCTTTAAATGTTTAAATAGTCATTTTAATTAGGAAATTGCTGCTATGAACCCCCCACGAAACAAAAAAAGTGTAGAGAATGTCCACACAAAGACGCATAAGTAAAAGTTGCAACCAATAAAGTGGTTAAATGATGTTAGATTATGTCATGTGCTAATTAGCATGTTCATGACGTCATCATACCATAAAGTCAGCCCTTTACATCTGTGCTCACATATTGTATTTTAATACACCAAATTCCCAATAAAGCTGTTCTCATTTAGAATTTTTACATTCTCTTTCTGGAATGAGTATGAAATAGTGACTGAAATGCATCACAATCCTGATTTATAACCACAACATTGCCTGACTTTTTTTTTTTATCTCATACATTTATGAATTTCACAGCACACCCTTTGTATTATATTCTCTTCCAAGGAAAGAAACTAAGGCTTGTCAAGAAAATTGCTAGATTCGTTATGTACTTTTTGAAAAGGGTACTAAAAGGGGTACGAAAGGTCACTAAATCTAACAGCTGTTGTGAAGTTGGCAACACTGACAGCAACTACATATAAATAAGATACTTTCCTTGCAATCAGGTGGGTCCTATACTGTCATGTTGCTAATTTTCAGCTATGATAAAGGGGTATTTCTGCCTATAGGGGTCCAGACGTGTGCTCCTAATAATGTTTGTCCTAATCACTCTGAGGTGTGAGGGACTAGTGATGGTAGAGGAGATACCACGACTGCTCTTCACACGCTCTGCATGCCATGAGATTACACACATGTGCTCTTGGACTATTTATAGAGCCCTGTTCTTATCCACTTGTTTATTTTCCTACACGTTGCACAGGACAAACTGTATTGACATTTCATTTAATTCGCAATATTAGTGAATACAAGCAATGTCCATTTGGTACTATTAGAAAGTTGTATTGTTTGGCACCAGAACCGTTTTAAGAGCCATTTTCACCATTTAACTTCTCTGTCTTTCAAGATCTCCCTGGCCTCTGACAAGTGAGTAAATTGTCTTCTTTCACAGCACTGATGCAGTATCAATTCTTGTGTTAAACACTATAGACTTTTAAATGACAGTTTACTTTTTTTTTCTTGCGGCACGGATGCAGACAGATCTGATTAACTCTCATAATATATGAATGAGGGTTGTTTATATTGCAATTAACCTCACATTCTATCAATTGCAGGCACACCGATAGGACAAATTGTAATCAAACCAGCAGCAAAACTGTGTTGTTTGTCAGAATGATGATTCGCCTCTAAGTGGTGCACCTTCTCATAACCTGATGGATGTGCCGCGAACATATAACATTATATCATACCTCCCCGAGTCCACTGGGAACTCTACAGAGGATGCATATTAACTGTCTGAGTTCATGCTATAAAGGAGAGAGTGAAAATGACCTAGTTTAACGGCCTCTAATTCACCTTCACAAGCAGTAAAGAGAACGGGGAGGGGGGCTTGCTTGGAAGAACCGGGCCCACCTGCTCAAAAAGAATGAATGTAGTTCAGTGGTGAAATTCAGTGAGCTCAGCATACTGTTGTGCAGTGTGATTCAAGACTCGCACAGCGCAATACATCATAAAAACACTCTAAAGCAGAAAGCCACACGTCCCACAAACATCCTGCAGCTGAGGTAAAGTGAATGCCTTTTACAGTGAGATCATCAGATTTTGATGTAAAAAGTATGTGCAGAAAAGAGTAAAAATGGAGAAGGTCTTTCATGGAAGTAACCAAAATGTTCAAGATTTGTGTAAAAGTTCAAGAATCCGTCATTGAAGAACCGTTATCGATTGGACGCTAATATGAAAAATGGGGAGGATGTGTATTTCAGTCACTTAGTGAGATGGATTTACTGCGTTGGAGGTGAAGATGTTAAGTACGTTCTTTGATAGACCTAGTGTGACTAATGATCGCCATCAATATCGACCAATTTAAAAAATCTGATGCCAACATGATCATGCCTCCTTGATATGTACCATGTATTGATAGTTTACAATTTTTTTTCACCCTCTATCCCTCTCGTTTCACAAGAGTTAAGAGAAGGAACCTAGTCCTCCCAGACTATATCCTCTCGAGACATAGAAACCTGAGATCTTTCAACAAATCAACCCCCACAAACAGCAACAAGTATATAACCCGGCTTGTTTGGTCCTCTCAAGCCATGTAAAAACTGCAGCATTTTGGCAGCCGCCCCACTAGGCAAGCGTAGGACGGTGGGCTCAGGAGTAAACAGATAGAGAGGTGGACAAAGTAGGGGAATGATTGCAAGAGACTTACCAATCAGAAGTGTGATGACCAGACCGGCGTGGACTACATCGCCGGACCGCGCACACCTGTGCAGGAATGATCTTCTGTCTTGCAACTCCATGCCAGACAGTCTGCCCACTTGTGCCTGTCTGTCTGTCCCTGGTCAAGTCTTCTGCTGTATGTCTTGGGTGGGATACTGTAGGTCTGAGAGGCTACAAGGGACCTGACACGAAATTAGACTTTCAGCTGGGGATGTCTTGCGGAGTACCTCCCTGTCCTCGATCCTCCTTTGCAGTATGTCCCAGTAAGGGAGGGAGAGGGAACTAGAGAGCGAGAAATACGGAGGCAGCACCTGATCCGTTGCTTGATCTTCAGATCAGTGGCTCTCAGTTGCCGGCAGTGTCTCGCTGATACTCTGTCTCACTCAGCGTGGTTGTAGATGCAAGAAACACTGCATTCATTCAGCGGCAGCTGCAGCGCAGAGCTCCACTTTCAGTCTGGGGAAGAGACTGTCAGTCTTACCCATGAATAGGTGCCGCATGCTGGGATGAGTGGCCAGAGGAGGGGTGGAGGGGGGCGGTGTGTGTCTGTAGCCGGCGCAGGAAAGAACAAGCCACTGCAGAGGCACGGGACGAGTGAGAGGGAGTGAGAGAAATAAGGGAGGGCGGGAGAGTGTGTGAGGTGGGGATGGGTTTGTGTGTGGGGGGCGGGGGTTGTCTTTTAGACTAATCACATCTGTGGAGATCATAAAACCTTCAATGTGTCCCGTTATAGCCTGTGCCTGTGAGCATGGGAATCTTTATTCCTGCCCCTATCTGGTTCAGTATCGGTGTATGATTGTATGACTTCAGTTCAGTCAGTTCTATTATCGTTATTTTGCATTTACTGCTGCCTTCTGAGTTTTATCTTCCCTACTTTTCTATTCTAAGTTTGTTGCACTGCACACAAAAATATTGTATTGCTCAGAGGTTGCTCTTCCACATCTCGGGAGCAAGGTCCAGACAAAAATGTCCCAGATTTAAAATGTGGGGTCCAAGATGACCCTGTAATAAATTCTCATTTATTTATCTGTTATATAATTTGATATAGTTCAGTTTTCATTCTCAAGTTTTATTTTAAGCCTGTCTTGTTGTGGGTAAAGAACAGGCGTCTCATATTGTCCAACAAATAAAAGTAAAAAAATATATATATATACAGTATATATATATTACTTGAAAGAAAGACACAAATACTGGTGGTTATTATTATTATTATTATTATTATTATTATGTCTTTATATTTTTTTTGTGTTTGTGAATAAAACAGCTGTATTTCAGGAATAATAGAAAAAATAAAATGGTTGGTTAAAATGGTTAAAAAAATTAAGATATCTGTCAACCTAGGGCATGTAGACAAGATCTATTCCTGAGATTGCTTTGTACTCTCTATTTAGTGCACTATGTAGCATTCATTATACAGGGAATGGCGATTGATTGAATAAGTGAGCAATTTGGGCCAGCAACAGTGTCCGTGATGGGGTCCAGAGGGGAAATATTGTTCCTTTTATTAAAAAGGTTAATTTCTGACAATTCTCAGGCGTGTTTCCCTCTGATGTTTCTCCTAAAATTCCATCAGAGAAATTAAAATAGACTCAAATTGTCGCTACACAGTAATAATAAGGAACTAACAAATTACCAAGGATAGCATAGCCTTTTGAGAAATGTTTGAGTTCATTTTAAAATCTTTGGTATCTTGGCAAATCTGAGCATAGGGACCTCCTTTGAAACTCTGAAGGAGACACACTCTCTCTCTCTCTCTCGAGGAGCAGGACAAAATCAAAATTCGTCATTTAATTCCATTGCTTTCTGCGGGGATATATATATATATATATATATATATATATAACACCCACCATCCTCATATGAATGTCTACCTCTTTCTGTCTGTTTCTCTATTTGGAGCTTTGCCAGGCCTTGAGTAAAACCAACTACAAACCAGCCTACAATGCAGGACTGGATCAGTGATTAAGGTTCCAGGAAGAGAAGCTAGTTCGAACACTGTCTAGGCTTGACTGAAATACTAAATATGCATGATAAATGAAGTAATGGACACTTGTGAGTCCTGTAGTATCCCAGCTGAGCTCATTCAGGATATCAAATCTATTATGTGCATAATTTATGATGCCGTTTTAATCTCTGTAGTAATGCATCCAAACAGTTTTGTTTTCCACAGTGGCCATTTTTAGGCTTGTAAACAAATGACTGGCTGTTGAAACCTCTCTCTATGACACTATTTATATCCTGGCCCCCATAATTTAATACAATACATAACTTATGAATATTATTTAATAATTATTTATTAAAGAATATTATTAAATCAAATCATTAAAAAAAAAACATAAATATAAAAGCATTATGGAAATTTAATAAAATTTTATTAAATTTTATTAAATTTTATTCCTAGCACTAGATTTATCTAGTTAGATCAGTGGCTATTGTTTATTTTAGCTCAAAGATGATTGCATTTTCCCTATTAAATTCATGATTAGACATATCATTTTTATCAATCATTTCACAAGCTTCATATATATATTATTATTCCAAGAAAATTTCAAGTTAAGCATTCTGTTGCCTCAGCTTCAGACGACACGCTCACAGACCGCAGTCTTTTCATTGACCGTCTCGTGCTTACTGTACACAAACATGGCAAGAAACTGGCTGAAATCTCTAGCTCTGATTGGCTGAATGGTGTGCAAAATCTATGAGTCTGTGCACATTGTGTTGTAAAAATACTTTAATGTTTGTAATTTTGGTGCCATCAAATCGTTGAAAGATACAGATGCTTGAGGCACTGAGTATCAACTATTCTAGCTATTTCAGAGCAACACTCTTTTTTTGTTCTTTGTTTTGAAATATATCTGAATTATTAGGCCCTAATTTCATTATATAATTTTTAATACAATTTCAATTTCTTTTCAGCCATTGTTAAAAGTTGCATACAAACATAATGAACTGTGGAACAGACTTTATTCCACTAAAAACCCTGGCTCTGTGAGTCTAAGCAATCTGAAACGAGCTATCCCATGGATTATTTGATTATTTGTGTCTCATCTCCCCAGAATTGTAACAATTAAATTAAACGGCAGATGAGCCAGCAGTGCAGCTGCTAAAAGGGAAAGCTTAATACATGGGGAAGTGGTCTGGGACCCTTGTGGTCAGAGTTTTATAGACTGAGACACTTGGCTAGGCAATCGCTTTGGCCATTCAAGAAATGTGACTTATCTAAACTTGTGGTCTAAAGGGGCAACAACGTAACAGTTATGACTCAATCATCAAATTAATACGGCATACTATAGCCAAAAATGGTAGGTTATCCTGGAATTTCTCACCTTTCACTGCACAGTAGTGGTTACATATACGTTTTGTTTCTGATGACTGTGATTAAATCTTTAGGCCTGATCGTGGGGAACATTTGCTGATGAACAGCGCCGTAGCCTGATGCAGATGTGACACCAAAAAGAGACAGCAGCTGTTTCACAGACAACTGATCCAAACAGAGACATTTACACACACACACACAGATATCTGACTGACAGAATGTCGTCCTGTGTGGGCCGTTGTGATTTATAGGATAGCACTCGATATCAACCCCCTGTGGTCACACTCTTGTACACACACACACACACACACACACATTCAGGACAATGTGACCTTGGGAGTCCATATCACAGCATATGTGTGTGTGTTTGTGCAGGATAGAGTATCAAGAGAGGGAGAGAGCAATTCCCATAATGCAATCTACTGTATAGAACCAGTAAGAAAGAGAGAGAGAGAGCGAAAGAGAGACAGAGAGAGAGAGAGAGAGAGAGAGAGATTGGACAATAGAGACCCACTCACGGTTGAAGAATGGAGGAATGCATTAACAAGACTAAGTTTGGGACACTTTGGAGCAAGAAACACAATCATGGACTTCGGATTGAGATTGACCACGCAATAGTAAAGGAAAAGATAATAATTTTTCATTAACGTGACCTTGGTATGGATGGATTTAATTTTGGACGCCACGCATCAAATGATATGCAAGCACTGGAACGCATTAAATGTTGTCAACGAAAACCAATCGGTGATTGCGAAGATGCTGGACTCCCCAGGACTGCGCCAACGAGGGGAGCATGATGTTGCAAAACTTAGCCAGAAGGGAAAGGCAGAGAGGAATGGAGGGGAGGAGGAGGATGAGGAGGAGGAGGAGGAGAGGTGTGGAGGACAGCAGGAGGAGGGAGAAGGCGAGCCGGAGAGGTAGAGAGCGAGAGAGTCTGCATTTCAAGTGATTAACAATGACCTTAGAATCTCCCTCTATGTCTCTCGCTCACTCTGCATTAGTACAATGCTGCAGTTCTTCAGACCTTTATTGTCCCGGGAACAACTACAAGAGTGTCTGCAGGAGGATGCAGCCCTCTCTGCCTCTGTTTCTCTCTTCCTCCCTCTTTTTCTATAACTTTATGATGCGTGGACGGTGAGCAGTGATGCTGAGGCCTGAGAGCGGAGAAGTTTGGACTTGTGGGCAGGACGGGCTTCACAGGATGGGGTTGCCCTTTAAAATTTATTTGAATTTAAGAGCGAAGGCTTCTCGTATTATGGTTCATTACCAGGTAAGTAAAACCTGAACTCATTTTATTTGGTTGTACTTTGAATGCATGCATCTGGATCTCTTTAAGCTCACTCTAGTCTAGAGTATTTTGCCATATTATTTATGGCAGTGAGTGCTATAAAAAGTGTATGTAGTGCAGTCGTTTCTTTAAGAACTATTTGTAACTGATTCAAGACTTCCGATTACTTTTGTTGGCATAACGTAATGTAAGTGATTTGGTGATTTTGAAATGGACTAATTTAGATAGTAGGCCTACCACATGAAGCACATTTTTAGGTTTACTGACAAAACTTTATAAATGATTTTGTATGTACGGAAAACGTATATGATGAATAGATGCTTTTAACAAATCTTTACACACACAAGGAGTAACTCATAAAGTTAATGAGGAAATTTAGCAATACTTGTCAGCATCAGGAATGAAAAATGGTTATAATATAAATTTTCCTAAACCAAACAAATACACTTGTACTGAGATGCAGTTGAAGGTGTGGCTTTGGTGTTACGCACTTGTCTTGCAAAATACTAAGAGATTACATTGTGCATTTTAAAACTCTCATCAAGATAGCTGATTGCTTTTAATAAATCATTTTTTATGCATAAATGTTATGTTCTCCCCTTAAAGGTGTTATTTATTTTAATTATTACACTTATATTTGCAGATGATAACCAAGTAACTGTAAAATATAATTATAAAAAAAAAAAAAATTACTTGATGCACTTAAAAATTCACTTAGTTTGTTCATAACCAAAGTTATATCATTAATATTTTTGGTTATTTTTTAAAGGATATTTAGTGTACAGTATAGATTGAATGCATTTTTTTTTGTTATGAATAATGTATCTATCTCAAGTATTTAGCTTCAGTGATGTTAAATTATATTTTTGACTTGAATAAAGCCAATTCATTTACATGTTGCCATTTTTTAGGTTACCATTTATTTCAGTGTAGAGAATAATCAAATGATCACATTTCTATCATGAAAATGGCAGAAACGTCATTAATTAGAAATTCCTTGAGAGAGAGAAAGAGAGAGAGAGAGAGAGAGAGAGAGACAGACAAAACAGCATTCATTCCCAAATAAGCATTGCTGAACTATTTTAAAATTTACTCTTGTACATTGACTACAGACGTGTTATCAAGGAGAAGGAAGTTGGAAAGAGGAACCCTTATGAAAACAATAAATACTAAGGGAAGTAATATGGTAAGACTTGTCCTTCAAATAATTTGACTTGACAGTTCAAAAAGAAAGAAAAAAAAAAAACAGTTATTTGTGGAAATTATACAAATAATTACCAATATGAATAACAAAATGAGAAATAGTCACATCTGTGTATTCTAAATCAGACTAATTGTGGCGAGATTGATTAGCTTAAGGGTTTTTGCACCAGATGTTTGAAATTACATCTGTCTTGCTGAGTCACTGTAGTAGCAGCATTAAAAATTATAACATAAAAAAAAAACACTTTTATCAGTACTGATCAAGAGATTCACAACTCATATGATCTGTTTAACTGAATGACTGACTATCAGTGCTCAGCTCAGATTTGTTTGCAGATAATCAGGCTCCCTGGTTTTTATTATTTTGAACTTTAAGTTGCCGTGTTGCTGTGGTCTGATTTTGCCACTTTGATAAATATCTATGTTGTATATTTGCATGCATGAGTCACCTTCACTTTTGCCTGTGCAGCAATTTTCTCCAGCAGTAGCTGGTGTTGATCACACTGCAGAGACGCTGTGGCCTCCTCTGTCAGCTTCTCTCTATAGAACTTATTTAAAACATCTGCACTGCATTGATGACATAGTGGAAAATATCTTGGTTGGCTTTAATGCATTAATGTCATCCTTTAATGCTTTAATGCATTAATGCCCTTGAATGGCTTTAAAACATTATTCAATATTGTAATGCAGTAATTGCAATTTTAGTTTTTTATCATTAATTCTACTAATATTGATTTTAATACATTGTATTTATTTTAAAGGAATGGGTCATCTTCATTTGTTTTCCACAGAAGAAAGCAAGTCATGGGTTTTGAACGTCATGAGGGTGAGTAAATGAATACATTTTTGAGGGAACTATCTCTTTGAATATTAATTAATACTTTTAATTAATAAAACATTTTAGGTTTAAAAAGAGGCAGGAATAAAATGCTTTGTTTCTTTGTTTTTATTAAAAAAAAAACACAAACAATTAGTAATGCAGCTCTTAGTTATGGTGCAGTGCAAGCATACAGTATGTATTTAAAGTAGGCCAGAGTCAGACCTTCAGCGAGACACTAAACAGAGGCATGCATGCATGATGAAAAAAAAAACGAGCAAAAAACTGGTCCACAAACCAATCCAACCAACCTCACTGGACTGCTGTTATTGTTTATGCCCACATAAATGTTATGTTTGTATGATCTTGATGTAGAAATTAAATCTTGAAGAAAACATCAAGGCAGTACAATCATGGTTGCATCATATATGTGATAAAATTCACCTTCAGTATAATATCAGGCTTCTGACAGTTCAAAATTATATTTAATGACCCAGTTATTACATCAGTACTTATGAATACATGTAAACAAGTAACGTCTCGGTTACGTATGGTAACCCTCGTTCCCTGAAGGAGGGAACGCCGACGTGACGTCGAGAGTGACCGACTGAAAGAGAACTAGGAAATTGTTGTCTAATTCTAATAGAAGATAATCAGAGATTTAGAGTCATGTTCCCTGGAAACTCAACCTATGAATGGCAACCACTAAAGTGCTAGCCATAAAATCATTGTGCCGCAGTCTGGATTTCACAAGCTGGCTTAATGTTAACTGCTATTCAGCAAATCAAATTATGAGCTTAATGGTTTTATTATATCCTTTAGGAGACTTTTTAACATTTTGTGGTTGCCTGATGTCGCTCACATTATGCAAATATCTAATGCAAAACATGGTGGTAAAAATACAATGTACATGTGTATGTGAACAAAGTAACTGAGTGTCACTGAATACATGATTATCATTGAATATATAGCAATAACAGTTAACAGTTATGATTACACCATATGTAAATCTCAGTTTTGGTTCATAATACAATAAAGCATTACTGAATTAAACATTAAAATTAACACATTCCCTTACAATGAATTTGAGGTAAAAATTGACCAAAATTATAGAGGTAACACAGCAATCCTTCATGGTACATTTTTATATAACAAGAAGCAATATAACTTGATTTATTAAATACTTATTGGAGTACAATATGATGTGGAAGTGTAACATAACACCTATGTCAGTTAAACAAATAAATTAAATTATAAAATAAGCCAGTCATAAGGGGATTGAGTGAGTTAAAGTGTGAGTAAACAGAAGCCAGTGTGGGTGTCGGCTTTGCCCAGCAGAGGGTGAGGCTTCCTGGGCTCAAAATCACTGTGGCTCCAGGCTTTGGGCCTGTGCAGCATGAATGCAGTGTTACAGCATGCACACTAAGTAATCATACATGGTGAAGTAAAATAAGTGGTGAACTACTTTACTCCTATGGTCTGTAGACAAATACTGTATATCTTGTATAAGGTTTTATAATAAGAACATAGAAGAACCATTTGTAAATGAGCCTACATCTCTATGATATTGTCTTGCTTCAAATTAAATATACAGAATGTTTAAATTAGACATATACTGCTACTTTTCGACATCATTCAAGATTACAATATACATATAATATATATTTTGATATATTTATTTTTAATCTAACTATTTAGAACTATTTAATACTCACGTTTCCTCACAATAACACAAAATATGCTGTAAAAATATTGAGGCTATTCTTTGAAATTGTTCGATTTAGCAGATGTTATGTAGGGGACCTGCCCCTTCCCTACATAATCTGCTACACAGTCTGCAGTCTGTTACTGAAAGTTCACAATCACTGTGTTTCACTATCAAAATGGATTCCCATCACATGAAAAAAAGCTTGTTTTGGTTCTCTTTTTTTTTCCAATTACTTGAAATCAAAGTTTCTTATTTCCTCTGTATACATACAAATATGATATATGTCATACAGAATTGATTACTTTTTAATCTTTCCATTAAATGCACATTCATTAATCCAGTATCTTTCATTTGCTTGTTACTCAATTTAAAACCACTTTAGCCTCTTTCAGAACATATTATATGATGGAAAAAGAATGATTGACCTCATAATCAAATTTCACACATTCCCAATAACACATCACAACATGTCAAACACAATCGATAATATTAACAATCAAATTTCTGTATCAGTTGTTTTTTGGCTTTTATCTATATATAGATCATGTCTAACTTGCCACATAATCACTGCACCTGAATGATGGTGTTTATGTGTGAAAGCAATGTTTTGGAAATGGCATTTTTCATAAATAGGGTACAAAATAGCTGAAACTCCATTTTTTTCTTCAGGGTTGCAAATTAGAGCAAATTCAGCATAAATTAAGCTGTCACTCAGTATGACATTTGTTTGATATTTTTTCTATTCATAACTGAGAAAATAGAGATTATTTACGTCCAAACTAGCTTATTTTTTGGGCCTCACAATTTTTTATTTGTTTGTTTGTTTATTTATTTACTTATTTGGTAATGGGGCAAATAAGTTTTAATAAGGTTAATAAAGAAATTAAGAATTCACTCACTTTTACTTTTCATCTTTTAAAATGATGATGCTCTTCTGTGATTTTAATTGTTAGATAGTCATGAAGACCAAGTCCTCTCAGGTGGAAGTCAAAATCACCATTAACAAACCGACAAAAAAAAGTCACTTTCATGCTAAGTTAGTTTCATGTTAAATAACAAATACGCAATATCTAATAGGTCAAAACAAAGACAACATAGGATTAATGCCTCTAAGGCTTTTAAAAAATGCCATGGAACAGCAAAATATACCCTATTTGTGGAATGTGCCAGATGCTTGTGCAAATTAATGATTTGTTTTGTGCAAATTATGTGTATCATGCATAAGAAAATTGTCATGCAATGATTGTACATGTTTTGGAGGTGTGCTATGTGCTGTAAACTAGCGAATTATAGATTTTGAACACTGATGTATAGTCACGGTCCTGCCTAATAGTCTGCTGTAAAAACAGGATAAACTTTTAGACTCAACAGGAGCAAATTGGCACAATGAGACGGCACACACAAACACACACATTATGTTTCTACATCCACTTGAGAGGTTGTTGAGGGCAGTGATTTCTCAAGAAACTCTTAAAACGTATAAACACCATAAGGGTAAAAACACTTTGGCAGTTGTAAGAGGACCTTCTATAATTTTAAATTCATCTGGTTAGAAATTTTTCATCAGAAATACTGGATGGCTGATATTAATAGTGCTAATAGTGGCAGTAGTTGAAGAAGAAAAAAAGACATTACTTGACTTTGAAAAAAGGGTGGTCTAAACGAAGAGTTCTGAAGGAAGTTATCACCTTAACCTGTTGTATTGAGTGGAAGAAGCAGTTTGAAACCCTTTGTGGGGTAATTTCTCACTGGTAACTGGACACCATGGCACTGTGGTGGAGATCTTCCTTTATGACATATGTGACTGCTACACGAGAAACCGAGGAATGTTGAATGAGACAGTTATAGGATGAAGAGTCAAACAAGTTTTACATATCTTCAGGCAGGCTTAAATTTCTGAAAGGTAAAAAGAAAGACAATGAAAAAAAAAAATGTGAGAATGTTGAATCAGCATGTTGAATATTAATATTGATTTATTTATTTTTTTGTATGATTTCCATATGTGATTATTTTGTAGGAAAATACCATTAGATTTGGCAAATATGATTAATTTTGATCAGTATTTTTTTCAATTTCAATTTTTTATTTTAATTTAATATTTTTTTTTTATAAAGACTGATTCATTTGCCAGAACGTCTCGGTTACGTATGTAACCCTCGTTCCCTGAAGGAGGGAACAGAGATGTCACGTCGTGACCGACGAATTGGGATCTCGCTTAGAGAGACTAATCCACTTAGAGTGTAAACTAAACGAGCTAATGCACATTGGCATGCGATAATTGCATCCAGCTGCTGCTGATCACAGCTTGAGCATAATAAGACAGCCGGTGCAACGCATACCAGGTTTTCGCTGAGGAGCCGAGCCGTTGGCCCGGCCGCTCAGCGGTGGTACAGCAGCCGTGGCGACGGGACGTGATGTCTCCGTTCCCTCCTTCAGGGAACGAGGGTTACATACGTAACCGAGATGTTCCCTTTCAGTTGGTCACTATGAGTCACGTCGTGACCAACGAATTGGGATCCCTACCAAAGCGCCATGGATGCTGCCCCTTCCAGTGTCCTGTGCCTCCTGCGCCCCTTTTTGGTGTAGGCCGGGGCTCGCAACAAGAACACCAGTCACCGCTGTCATAGCACTACCCACTCAGTGAGATTGGATAACACTGGAAAAACGTACCCGTTCCACTTGGAAAAGGAACGTTGCGGAAGCCCCATCCTTCCCGAAGGAGGTTTCGGAAGCAGTTACACATATGAACAACCGTTTAGGTGCATATGGAAGATTAGAGGTGATTGTAACCCTCTTGGAAATGGCAGACGTCTGCCGGGGAAACTCTTAGGCTATACCGTGGACTTTACACATATGGGATCCATTTAGGTCTCTACATATGGAACCCAGCCCTCTACTGGTTCTCAAGGATTCATAGAGTGAGGGCCTGGCACCGGACATTCCGCCATGTCTGGCTGCCGAGGGGACAAAGAGCTTGACATGGCCTACAGTACGGACACTCTGGAGCAGTTTTAGCAAGCTGACACTAAATCGGGGCCTCTCAGTGCCTCTACCCGTTTGAGGTGAGAACACAGGTGGATACCGGCTCCAAACGAAGGCTATAGAATCTAGCGAACGTGTTGGGGGTTGCCCAGCCCGTAGCTCTACAAATATCTGTCAGCAAGGTGCCACAAGCCAGCGCCCAGGAGGATGCAACACTTCTAGTAGAGTGAGCTCGCAACCTGAGCGGGCAGGGCACACCCTGTGCCTGATAAGCCAGGGTGATGGCATCCACAATCCAGTGGGCCATCCTCTGCTTAGAGACGGCCTTCCCCTTTTGCCTGTCTCCGTAACAGACAACGAGCTAGTCTGAGGTCCTAAAGCTTTGTGTCCGGTCTAAGTACCATCTCAAGGCTGGGACGGGACAAAGCAAAGCTAGGGCTGGGTCTGCCTCCTCCGGGGGCAGCGCTTGCAGGTTCACTACCTGATCCCTGAAGGGGGTAGTAGGAACCTTGGGCACATAGCGGGCCGGGGCTTCAGGATTACCTGGGAGTCAGCCAGCCCAAACTCTAGGCACGAATCGTCAACCGAAAATGCGTGCAGGTCCCCTCCTGATGGAGGCCAGTGCAAGCAGAATCAGAGTTTTCATTGAAAGAAACTTTAGCTCGACTGACTGAAAAGGCTCAAATGGGCCCTGCTGTAGTGCTTTGAGCACTAGAGACAAGTCCCAAGAGGATATAAAGGGGGGCTGGGGATGATTTAACCTTCTTGCCCCCCTAAGAAACCTGATGACCAGATCATGCTTCCCTACCGACTTCCCTTCCATGGGGTCATGGTTAGCAGCAATCGCAGCGACATAGACTTTGAGGGTGGAGGGAGACAGCCTTTGCTCCAACTCTTGCTGCAAAAAGGAAAGCACGGCCCTGGTTGGGCATTTCCGGGGGTCTTCTCGGTGAGAAGAACACCACTCGACGAACAGGTTCTACTTCAAGGCGTAAGCGTGTCTCGTAGACGGTGCTCTCGCCGAAGTGATGGTGTCAACTACCTCCTGGGGTAGGTCATCTAGAACCTCCGCGTCCAGTCCAGGGACCAGACATGAAGTTTCCAGAGGTCTGGACGCGGGTGCCACAGGGTGCTCCGTCTCTGAGTCAGTAGATCCTTCCTCAGAGGAATATGCCAAGGAGGGACTGTCACGAGGAGCATTAGTTCCGGCAAACAGGTCCGAGTGGGCCAATAAGGCGCTACGAGCAGGACTTGCTCCTCGTCCTCCCTGATCTTGCACAGTGTCTGTGCGAGAAGGCTAACTAGTGCAGTTGGGGGCCCGTCCACACCCCCGAGACTGTGTGCCCATTGTACGTGGCCCCCCAGCCAGTGGTGAAGGCATCTGTGTAAACCACAGCATGCCTGGAGACCTGCTCTAGGGGCACCCCTGCCCGGAGAAACGTAAGGTCTGCCCACGGGGTGAAGGTTTGGCATCAGGCTTGGACCCGGTGAGTGCCGCGCTGCCACGCCCACCTCAGGACTCGGCCATGAAGCCAGTGCTGAAGCGGTCTCATATGAAGCAGCCCCTGCGGTGTAACTGCCGCTGCAGCTGCCATATGCCCCAGGAGCCTCTGATATTGTTTCAGTGGGACCGCTGTCCTGCCCTTGAATGAATTCAAGCAGTTCAACACCGACCGCACATGTTCCTCTGTGAGGCGTGCTGTTTGTTCGACCGAATCCAACTCCATATCAAGAAAAGAGATCCTCTGCGTCAGGGAGAGTTTACTCTTTTCGCAGTTAACCCGAAGACCCAACTGGCTGATGTGCCGGAGCACCAGGTCCCTGTGCTCGCACAACTGAACCCAAGACTGCGCTAGTATAAGCCAATCGTCGAGATAGTTGAGGATGCAAACAACCTGCTCTCTGAGGGAAACAAGAGCCCCCTCCGCAACTTTCGTGAAGACACGGGGAGACAGGGACAGCCCGAAGGGCTGGACCTTGTACTGATATGCACGTCCTTCGAATGCAAACCGCAGAAACGGTCTGTGGCACGGAAGGATCAACCCATGAAAGTACGCATCCGATCCCCGACGCAAACCAATCTCGGGGACCCAGAGATGCGTTTCTGCGCCAACATCTAGAACGGTAACCGGTGAAGGGCCCGGTTCAAGACACGCAGATCCAAGATTGGTCGTAACCCACCGCCTTTCTTGGGTACAATGAAGTAGGGGCTGTAAAACCCCGTCCTCATATCAGCTGGAGGGGCCGGCTCTATCGCATCTTTCGCCAGTAGGACTGCGATCTCTACAGGCAAGACAGGAGCATCGGCCGCCTTCACTGCCGTGAAGCAGATGCCACTGCACTTGGGGGGACGCCGGGCGAACTGAATTGCATTGCCGAGGCTGATGATCCGCAGAAGCCAGCGAGACGGGCTGGGTAGTGTTAGCCAGGCACCCAGATACCATGCAAGCGGGACCAGCGGAACCACCGCCGTACCCACAGTGGGCAGCGAGGAGGAACGCAGGGACCCAACTTGGGTGGCTTGTGGGCGGACCGAAGAGGGGTCTGAGTGTGCGGTGCAACGCTTA